CCCTTCTAAACTCATGACCCTTACACTTCTAAAACTCATGCTATTAACCTTATTTATTTTAACATTTTAATTTGATATTCCAACACGCCCCTTTAAATAAAAATGTCTTTATGCCAAGCATGTCTCTTAGCCTCATGAAAGTTTTACCTGATAATAGCTTGGTGAATATATATGCTATTTGTTTAGTGGTGTGACAATGCTTCAGTTTAACGGTTTTCTGCTTTACATGATCTCTGAGAAAATAAAATCGTGTATCTATGTGTTTGCTCCTCCCATGATGTACTGGGTTTTTTGCAAGCTAGATGGCTGATTTGTTGTCCATAAAAATTACGGTCGAGTTTTATTGTGGAAGATCCAACTCCTTTAATATGTTTCGTAACCAAATTGCTTCATATACTGTAGATGCAGCCGCCACATACTATGCTTCACATGAAGATAAAGCCATAACTCCTTGCTTCTTTGAGATCCATGAAAATGTAGTTGACCCAAGAAAGAAGACATAGCCTATGGTGCTTTTCCTCTCATCTTGGTCTCCTCCCAGTCACTATCTGAGTAACCAACTAGTTGTGTATTTTCATCATATGCATAGAAGAGACCTTGGTTGAGTGTGCCTTTGATATACCTTAGTATCCTCTTCACAGCTAGCCAGTGAGACTCCTTCGGTGTCTCCATGTAGCGACTCACAAGTCAGACTCTATAAGTAATATCAGGCCTTGTGAGCGTCAAGTATCTCAGGCTGCCAACTAGACTTTTGAAAAGAGTTGAATCCACGAAACGTCCGTCTCCTTTTCTTGAGAGCTTCATTCCGATGGCTACTGGGGTGTTCACAAGGTTGTATTCATTCATCTTGAACTTCTCTAAGATCTCCTTCATGTATCTTCTGGGATATAAAAATCCCCTCTTGCTGCTGCTTCACTTCAATGCCAAGAAAATAGGACAACAATCCATTGTCCGTCATCTCAAATTCATTGAACATTACCGCCTTGAATTCATCAAGCATCTCGGTACTGCTTCCCGTGTACAATAAATCATCAACATAAAGACAAATTATTAGAAATTCGTCTTTATGGTTCCTCTTCATGTAGATGGCATATTCATAGGGACATTTAATGAAGCCGTTTTGATAAAGATTGCCATCAATTCAGGCGTTCCACGCCCGTGATGCCTGCTTTAAGCCATGCAAGGCTTTCTTTAAATGGTACACTTTGTCTTCTTGCTCTTTCACAAGAAAACCTTCTGGTTGTTGCACGTACACCTCTTCCTCAAGAACGTCATTGAGGAATACTGACTTGACATCCAAATGATATATATTCCACCTGTGATGAGCTACAAGTGAAATTAATAGTCTCATTGTATCCAGTCGAGCAACCGGAGCAAAAACTTCTTCATAGTCAATGTTGTACTTTTGTTTGTAACCTTTTGTTACAAGCCTTGCCTTGCATCGATCAACTTCACCATTTGCTGTGCGCTTGATCTTGTACACCCACTTGACCCCTGCTGCCTTGTGATTTTATGGAAGTGTTGTCAACTCCCAAGTTTCATTCTTTGAATGGAATGGATCTCCTCCTCCATTGTTGTTCGCCAACAATCTTCTTTTATGACTTCTTGGAAGGTGTGAGGTTCATGATCAACATATAAGTTTAAGATATTTGACTCTTCGTCTTCTTCTATTTACTTAGGATCTCCCTAAGGCTTCTCATTTTGATGGGACCTCGTTGCACGATAGATCCGCTGCTACTACCTTCCCCAGAAGATGGAGAATCTCTTGCAGGAGAGGGTGTAGAATGTGGAGGAGATGGTGGTGTAGCTAGTGATGGTTCCTCATGTAGAGACTCATCAGGTTCATTCACCACGGGTTGACTTTTGGTAGTCTCTTCATTGCTCTAGTTCCATGCTTCTTCTTCATTGAAGATAACATCTCTACTAACAACTAGTTTCTTGCTTAGTGGATTGTAGAGCTTGTATGCCTTCGACTCCTCGCTGTATCCGATGAAAATATACTTTTCACTGTGATTATCAAGCTTCTTCCTTTTGAATTCAGGTATTTGAGCATATGCAACACACCCAAAATTTCGTAGGTGTGCCACACTAGGCGTGTAACCGCTTCATGCCTCTTGAGGTGTCATGTTCTTCACTATCTTTGTGGGACATCGGTTGAGCAAATAAGTTGAGCACACTACGGCTTCAGCCCAGAATTGCTTTGACAATCCCTTTTCTTTGAGCATGGTTCTTGTCATATCGAGGATGGTATGGTTTTTTGTTTCTGTAATGCCATTTTACTGTAGTGTGTAGACAGTAGTAAACTGTCTCTTTATACCTTGCTCCCTATAATATTCTTGAAACAGATTTGAGGTGTACTTACCACCTCGGTCAGATCGAAGAATTTTTAGCTTGTGTCCGCTCTCTGCTTCAACTAAAACTTTAAAATTCTTGAATGTAGTAAAGGCAACAGATTTTTCTTTAAGAGTGTACACCCACAACTTTCTACCGAAGTCATTAATGAAGGTTATAAAATATTTATTACCTCCCAAAGAAACGGGATCGATCGGTCCGCAAATGTTAGTGTGAATAAGTTGCAATGGTGCCTTTGCTCTCCATGATTCTCTACTAGGAAAAGGAAGTCGTGGTTGCTTGCCAATTACAGAACCTTCACAAATATGATTCAGTGGATCGATTGTTGGTAGACGTCGTACCATTCCAACTGTAGACAGTAACTTTAGGCCGCTGAAGTTTAGATGCCTGAAGTGAAGATGCCACCTCCATGACTCATTCTCCATGAGTCCTTGAAAACACTTGTCGACTTTCGTGTTTAGATGCAAGGGAAATATGCGGTTTCTTATCATCTTAACACAAGCTATGAGGCCTCCATTTGTATTTTTCAACCAAAGATGGTTGTTCTCCATATATACTTTGTATCTCTTTTGGAGTAATTGACTGATGCTAAGAATATTACTTTTCATGTTAGGAATATAGTAAACATCAGAAATATACTCAGGCTTACCATCCTTTTGGTAGATTTTAATCTTCCCTTTGCCTTCATCCGTGAGTTTTGAAGAATCTTCGAGGCTCACACTTCCATGAACTCCTTCTGCGAGTTCCATGAAAAGTTCTTTCATTTTGTACATGTGGTTGCTAGCACCCGAGTCAAGGTACCAAGCATCATTCTCATCATTTGAATCATCATTAAGCATAGAGTTGTTACCCACATTATTTGTTGCTTCAGTAAGATTGGTTTGGTCTTCAGTTTTGTACCAACAATCTGAAGCGTAGTGCCCAAACTTGTGACAGTTATAGCACTGAACATATTTGTTGTTTCCATGCCCAGGTGTGGATCATCCACGATTGCTTCGTCCTCGTCCTCTAAAGCTTTGGGTCACTACTTGATTTTGAGTGGTTTGCTGTTGGGGACCACGTCTCCTGCCTCTACCACGACCATGACCACGACCTCTATTTTGTGAGCCTTGCTTACTTAGAGTCAATGTTGACTCTAGTTTTTGTTCCAAAACTATGGAACTAGCCTTCTTTTGCATTCGTTGTTCATGAACTTGGAGAGATCCCAAGAGCTCCTCTATTGAGATCTCCTCCAAATTCTTTGACTCCTCAATTGCCGCCACCACGTGCTCCAATTTTAATGCGAGGGATCAGAGCAACTTCTCCATCACTCGGATGTCCTCCATCTTCTCTCCATTTATCATTTTATTCACAATTAGAATTAATCGTGAATAATAATCTGAGATTTTTTTCTTCATCTTTCATTTGAGCGGCTTCAAGATCGCCCTTCAAAGTTTGGAGTCGAATTCGCTTCACCCGCTCGACACCTTTGTAGATGGTAGCAATGATTTCCCATGCTTCCTTGCTCGTTGTTGCTTCAGCAACTCTTTCAATGGTAGACTCGTCCAACCCTTGATAGAGTAGAAAATGAGCCTTGCTATCCTTCTTTCTTTGCTCTCTGAGAGCCTTCTTCTTTTCGGCGGTGTAGGTGGCTTCTACTTCTGGTGTAGGTTCCGTGAACCCATCAATGATCAGCTCCCACAACTCTTGAGAACCAAATAAGACTCTCATTTGGATTGACCAACTCTCATAGTTATCTTTCGATAATTTGGGCACTTGAGGATTGACAAGATTATTTGTGGTAGCCATGAGAAGAAGAGAGAATGGGAAAATTGGATCAAGTGTCTCTGATACCACTGTTGACTCTTAAGTTTACGAACTTAGAACTCTCCCAAATGAAGAAAAAAAACTTATTTTTATTTCTTCAATTTTTTTTTCTTAATAAAACAAGGATTACAATAGCCCTTTATATAGGCTTCAAAAACAAAACGTATATGCATACCAATAGTCACAAATTAAACTCATCTTTTAATGTCATAAAGATAAAATATCATAAAGGAGTGAGTAACTCTTATTTTTTTCGTAATCTATGTCTCTTCCCCTTCTAAACTAATGACCATTGCACTTCTAAAACTCATGCTATTAACCTCATTTATTCTAACATTTAATTTGATATTCCAACATAATACTTGTACAATTTAATTAACTGCTACAGTTTGCAGTCTCTTCAAGTAACAAGTGTTTTCAAATCCAACAACATGTAATCTAACAACAGTACAAATTACATAAGATTGGAGCTATAGTACAGCCCCAACTGCATAAGCTAAACACTCAGAATTGAAGAAAGAGCAACAGATAGTTCAAAAACTGAATTCTGTGACTCTGTTCAATGTTATTTTATTCACATTAATCTTTAACCTTATTACTCATCGCTCATTGTTTCCTGCTTATTGCTCGCAGATACGACTGAGAACTGAGCTTTCTCTGTTGATAAATTCCATGTTCCAATGTAATTCTGTTTTTAATTGAATGATTAGTACAAAAAAGATGATTAGCTAAGAAATAATTAGTGTGACCCACATAATAACATAAAGCAAAATATTTGGAATCAGCGCACTAGGCATGACCTCATCTCTCCTAATCCCCAAATTAAATTACTAACCCACTAGTAATTGGCCTCCTAATCTTTGTGTATATATACAGCTACAACATCTGAGGTGAAAAGAGTAGTAAATAGCTTATAGGAGTAAACAGGAGTAATGTGCACAATGGAAGTTGTAGCTATGGATGTTTTAATGAAGGAAGGATACTACGACCATCACCAACAGTACTCCGGTTGTAGCTCCACCTCCACCGTGGACCAAGACGGCAACGTCGGGTGGAACGACTGGTCCCCTGTCGTCGACTGGGGCCCGTTCTGCACCGATGCTGATGACTTCCACGGGCTCATTGAGTCGATGATCTGCGACAACGACGCAGATGTCGAAGTATGCATCGATGATGTATGCAGCCGTCGAGCACCACCACAAAGCCGACGGGCACACCGCCGCCTCCGCCTGTGACTGAGGAGGGGGAGGGCGATGACAAGGGCTCCGGCTGGTGCACCTGTTGATGGCGGCAGCCGAGGCACTGACCGGCGCCCACAAAAGCAGGGATCTCGCCCGGGTGATATTGGTTCGGCTCAAGGAGTTGGTCTCGCCGTCTGGCGGGGCCAACATGGAGCGGCTGGCCGCTCACTTCACCGATGCACTGCAGGCCCTGCTGGATGGCCCAGCGGCGGGCCCAGCAGGCAGTCATAAACGTTCTTCTTCTGCCCACAATCACCGTGACGAAGCTCCTCATCAGCAGCCGAGCGATATCCTGGCAGCATTCCAGCGCTTCAGGACATGTCGCCATACGTCAAATTCGGCCACTTTACGGCGAACCAGGCCATACTTGAATCGATCTCGGGCGACCGAAGAGTCCACATCATCGACTTCGACATAACTGAAGGTGTTCAATGGGCCTCCTTAATGCAAGCCATGATGTCCCTAAAGGACGGCCCCCCTCCGCCTCACCTCCGAATCACGGCAATCACCCGAGGCAACTGCGGCAGCAGCGGGAAAAAAACATCGGTAAGCTCCGTCAAGAGACTGGCCGACGGCTGGTGCCTTCGCCGCATCCCTCGGCCTGCCGTTCTCATTCGCACAATGCAGGCTCGACCCCGACGACCAATTCGACCGTCCGCCCCATCAAAACCGTCAAGGCGAGTCCGTCATCGCCAACTGCATACTCCACCCCCGCACCGCTCCACCACCTCCGTGGCCTCCTTCCTCGCCGGCGCAGGCGACGCTCGGCGCCAAATTAGTAACGCTAGCTGAGGAAGAAGGCGAAAGCGAGAAGCCAAAGCGGTAACAACTTCGTCAGCGCATTCATGGACGAGCTTCATCGATACTCGGCCGTCTACGACTCTCTCGAAGGCCGGATTTCCCGATGCAAGGACGGGCTCGGGGTCTCGTCGAGCGGGTGGTTCTCGGGCCGAGCATCGCGAGCTCCATCACGAGAGCATACCGGGAGAGAGAAGAGCGGGAGGGAGATGGAGGATGGGGAGATTGGATGAGCTCGATGGGATTTGGTGGAGTTGGGATTAGTTTCTTTAATCATTGTCAGGCTAGATTATTGCTTGGACTGTTTAATGACGGGTATAAAATTGAAGAGGATGCGCCCAACAAGTTAGTTTTGGGCTGGAAATCTCGCCGCCTCATCTCCGCCTCGATTTGGTCATCGCCGCCGCCGTCGACCACGACGAGTGGATTCACGTCTTAGTTTAAAAAGTAGGGTAAACTTTGTACAATTGTGGTGCACTTGAATTGGGTGATTTTTGTGTAATATATTATAATGAACTTTTTATTGTTAGATGTAATAGTTAATGATATTTTTCTACAGTTTAAAAAATTTATGATGATTTTTTAAAATAACAGATTTATGATAGTTTTTCTGTATAACCTTCCAAAGTTCATGATAATTTATTAAATTTACCCTGAAAAATTATTTTCCTTCTTTAAGATGTGAGTTGATATTGTTTTAATTCATGGTTATAAAGCTGTAAAATTAGGCACCAAATAATTAATTCTCAATCCGTAGGCATCGGAACTGTTGGTGGGTAGCTATCTAGAGACAAGAATAGCATGATTAAGTTTATTATTCTCTGATGTATGTTGACAAACTAAAGTTGGTTATGAAGAGACTAAAATAATTAACAAGTACCAAGATGACTAGTTCTAGTACAATGCACTTGTTAATTATTTTCATTTTAGTATGTGATTTTTATTTTATTAGGGTTTGTTTGGTTCTTAGCGTAATGATGTAAAATAAAATATAAATAATGGCAAGATGGAAGGAGGAGTAAATGCAATTATTTGTCTTTCATTTTCACGATGATTTAACAAAAAAGTGCAGCTTTGGATGGCCTTTTGGACTTGATTCTGAAAGGATCGGTTGGGTTGCTGATAGTCAATAGACATGGAAAAGATTCATTGGAACAATCATTCAAGCAATATTAACATCAAATTTGTCTATATACCAAAATATATATAGAAAGACAAGCAAAAGGTTTCCTCACACTGTGTCCGTGTCTGTGTCGTCTGTCTCTAGGAGTTTGTGGTTTGTTTGGTTCGTTTCCCACAATTGTGGGAAATCCCATTCGATCTATGTAAAAAATTACTTTGTAGTGTTTTCTATATATTTCTTAGAAATATTTCTTAGAAATGAGATTTTTTTTAATGTTTCATTAACACATAAAACAATGATTGAAATTAATGTCTACACTTTTTCATTGTCTAGATGGATGATTATATATGGGAAATCAATTGTATATGCATTAAGGGGAGATTTTTTTATTCCGTAAATATGTGAAGGGGAATTTTTCTTTAATTTGCAAAATATAGTGTTTCCACCCCCGTTTCCTCTTGTTTTAGAAGGAAATGGGGGAAACCAATTATGCTTATGTAGAAGGATTTCCAGCACTCATTTCCCTAAGAGGCCAAGTGAACCAAACCCAAGCGAACCAAACCCAAGAAATGAAAACCAAATAATCATTTTATCCTAGTTGAACACAGTGGCAGAACATAGAAATGAGTTTCATTTCTATGTTGAAAACCAAACAACCAGTTACTAGAGAAATGAAAGAAAAATTAAAATAAGAAAAAAGAAGGTAGAGAAGGCGAGGAAAAATATTATATTTTTTTTTTTGGGATTATATTGAATGAAATGAAGGAAAACTTGTTTCATTATGTTTGGAAGCTCTAATTAAGGGAATGAAAAGCACATGAAGAATATTATAATCAAATCTCAACGGTTGATTCAAAATAATAGAGGGTGAAAAATATCTTATGATTAATTCCCCTCCCTTTCCCTCCTCTACACCCTAATTTGGAGGGGAGTGAAGTGACAAAGTTCTTATGTAATTTTTTCCTTCCCTTCATTTCCATTAATCCTCTAAAAAAAACAATTTCTCTTCCCCTATCATCTCCTACCCACCATCCAAACACAATGTCAATGTTCTTCTTTACAATTTGTCAATAAAATGAAGGTAAGTATTTTTACTTGATTCCTTCAAGCAAAGCATGAATTACCCTTGTTCTCTTTAATAAGAAATTTTGTTCATCTAAATTAGTCAGAACTACAAAGTTCTATAATATTTGTTTTAGGCTAACTGTATTTCATTATGAAAAGTTCTCATCATAATATAGAAGTTACAAGTGGGGCATTTGAAGGCCTTTTTTTAGTATATAGATAGGTAGGAAGGGTTAGTCCCTTTCCCGACTCATATTATTGTTTTCCTTTGAACAATTTAGCAGTATAAATGCTCACCACATAAGTTTTAAAGCAAAATTTCCATCATTTATACTGGCCCGAGTGATTTGATGCCGGCCTTAACAATACTAAGTTTATCGTTAAAAGTGTTATACTGTCTTTTTCAATAACAGTAATCATGGTCAACGGTAACCATGGTCAACAGTATTAGCAAGAAAGATAAAAGTTAAACATCATCTTCAACTAAGCATTAATTAAATTTATCTTGTACTGGATTTATTTTTAGAACAATGCCTTTTCACTTGAATACTAATTTCGACCTATCTATTGCACACGAAGAATTACCTACTTTCTTAAAAATTTTAATCTAGAATTGTTTGGCAAGGGAGCAAGTGAATTAACATTCTTAATTTGTCAAAAAAAAAAGTTACGAAAAAGTTAAGGATAATCTTACCGGAGTAGTGAAAAAAGGACAACTAAACAGAACATGAAATAAATTTAAACGGTGACACCATTATTCAAATCAAAATATCAGAAATTTTAGATTACTACCCTGGCCAACAGATTTCAAAATAACAAAAAAAAAACAGCATTCCACTCCCTCATTCAAATCTTTCTGCGAATTTCAGAATTCGCCAACCGAGCCAATACGATCCATTATATTAGCCACCACCTGCTTCGATTCCTTGAGAAGTTGGATGCTCTTCTTCAGCCTCTCCCTCTTGCCCGCAACAGACGGTGACTCCTCCAGCATTTTCTCGATTCCATTAGCCCTCGTCCCGACAATTTCGTTAACCATTTCTAGCTCCAATTCTTCTTCAACAAGCACTTTGAGACTGCGGAGAACGTGGAGTGCAATTTCATCTACAAGCCTCAAAACAACAATCTTCCAATATGCTGTCAGCCTCATCCTCATGTCGAATGCCTGCTCTACTATTGCATCACTGTATTGCCTCAGGTGCCCAATTTCAACTAAACCAAAACCATTCAGGTTTATTTTCAAAGGCATTTCAGAGCTGTGGATTACATCCATAAAATTTTCTTGTTGGTCCATCAGCTCATTCCAGGTTTTCATGTAGTCGGGATTAAGAGTGAAATCGGCAATGGTCTCCATTTCAATTATCTCCTTCACAACCTGAAAAAAAAACAAAAAAAAAGAGACATTATGCAGCCTAGCTTAACCAAACAGAAGAGAAATATTACTTTCAGGATTTAAAAATTATACCTGTAATGATCTCTTCTTCATCTTCTCAATAATATTTTGAGAAGCCCTGCGAGTTGACGAATGAAGCTGGGGATAATCATCAGAGTACTTCATCAGGATCTTAAGCACCACATCTTCGAGATAGCCCCACACTTTGATTATAAACTCAACTGGGGTATCAGAAATTTGCTTTACTTTCCTTTGCAGCAGAGTCATGAAAGCAGTCCGCGATATAAAATTGGGAAGCCCAATCCCCTTGCACTCCTCCAACACCTTAATCTCATCCATCAGAAACTCTTTCTGCGAAGTCGGACACTCTGAAGGCAACTCCTTCGAGTACTTGAAGAGCATATCAGCAAGCCGAGCCCTCCCATGCATTTGTTCATCAGAATCACCATCATATTCTCCTCTGATCAGTATGTTTCGTAAAGATTCCTTTGCAGAACTGAGCATATGCATGAATGCCCTCATCGCATCACTAACAGACGAAAGATTCTGCGGCATTTGGCCAAGGTCAGTTACATTTTGGTTAAGTTTCTCATTGATTTTTTTCACAATGTCAGGCAAGCATCGTGAAATGCATGCCGCCTGTATCTGCATCAACTTCTGAGCAAGAACAGGAATCCCAACCATCAACTTGTCGATCTTTGACAGCAATGGATCCAATGAAAACAGCCTGGTCTCCTCTTCTCGAGCCTGATCATAGGACTCGTCTCCAACCCGATTCCTAACACAAACATATCCAAGTCCAATGTTCACAGCATTGACAGTCACCTTTTCAAGCAACCCTTGAGGAGCCATGTCAGCTTTGGTAACCACTGCCAGTGTTCTCTCCCCAGTCCTATCGACTTTCTGAGACATCAAGATCGATTCACAAGTGGTGAAATCGACAGTGGCAGATAAAACATTCAGAATTATGCTTTCTTGGGGACAGATGTATTCTCTTATTATGGAGGCAATCTGTTCATAAATGTCATCAGGCTGCCCATGGACAGGGACTCTGGTGATGCCAGGCAAATCGACCATTGTCAGATCAGGGACTGCTCTCTTCTTGACAACGAGAGTAAGGGGAGTGCTACAGATTCCTTTGCCAGTTCCAGCAATCTCTTCTGTCGCAGCATTGATGGCATCAGCAACACATTCCTCAGATGTGGGCACTGTTTTGTTTCCGTACTCGAGTTGAAGCTCGGGCGTCGAGAGCGATGGATGATCTTGAAGGCGCATGACTAGGGGAACGCGAGTGCAAATGCCTTGGCCGCGTGGGAGGCTGATGCCGGCAAGGGATTCGAGGACACTTGATTTGCCGCTAGATTGATCGCCGACGACTACGATGGTTGGGAGTTGGATTCCCTCTTGCATGACTTTCAGGTGTCGGAGACGGTCGATGGCATCAAGGATAGGGCGAATGTGGTCGTCATAGGAGTTGGCGAGGGCGGACGTCTTCTTCTTTTAAGAGACTAGTACAATTCTTGTTTTTGGTTTTTAACTTAGCCTTTCGGATTACAGTACTGGACGATGAATTTATATATATAGTCCAAGGTTGAAAGAAGAGTCTCTCTCGGATCTAAGGGACGCTTGGTTTACCGAAAGGACAGCAGTAGCTCGCGTCTTGGTAAATACTCATTGGTAATTAAGGACACTGCATGCATTTCTCATGGGAATTAATTGGCCGTTTGGGCTCCTCAATGCTGCTTGGGAAGTGATTTGTTATTAATTCGAGAACATTCATGTCCTCTTCTTAACAAAAGTAGTAATGGACTCAAACATCTTAACAACGAATGTTAGTTCCTAGTTCAAACAGCTAATTGATTAATGCATCGGAAGAATTTGATAGTGTTGGGGCGCGGGACACCCACACGGCCACAGAAGCTAAATCAATCCCGAGAGAAAAAAACCCTAGTTGAGTTTAGAGCATCTCCAACAGCTTCCCCATCTTCTTGAAATACTCAAATTTGGAGAATATAGAGCTTTTTTTTGGTCCAACAGACTCCCCATCTCATTCCCCAAAATAGGGAAGGAGGAGAAAAAATAGGGAGTCTTCCCCAAATCTGCAGCATTCTCCAAATTTTTTGGGGAGAGCTTTATTATTGTAATAAATACGATTTTTCAAAATGGGGAAGCTGTTGGAGTTGGAGCAAAAATAATTTGGAGAATATGACTTTTGTTTCTTCATTTTGGAGAAAATTTTGGGGAAGCTGTTGGAGATGCTCTTAAGCCAAACTCAAACTAACCAATACAAGCAATAAACGACTACACAGATAAAACAGTAAGTATATGAGACGAGACAACAGATATACGTGGTTCGGAAAACTTGCCTACGTCCACGGGAGCCACACAAATAATTTCTTATTTAACCACAAGAAATTATAAAGCTTGCTAAGGGAAGATCTCAAACTTGGGATCTCACACTTAAAAATTGATTACTGTAGAATTGCTTTAGTGTCGCGTGTGATTTATTCAACTGAATAAATCACCACTTAATCTCCTAAGAATCCCCCTATTAAATCTTCTCAACCACCGCAGGCTTCTTGAATAGTCGCCGCCACAACAGAGAAAATACCCTCTGTTGAAAATCGCTGGCTCCGCTCAATCCTATCCGCGTGAACAGGGTGTCCCTTTTATAGGGAAACCCTAGGGAAGACAGCAAGATCCAACTGTCTTCCACAACCCCAGGCGAGCACCGCGAAGGCAACAGGCGAGAATCACATAGGCAAAATCCAGAACAGGCGAGATAAATAACAGGCGACTCCGATCCAAGCAGGCGAGCCCCCCTCGCCTCTCCACGCCCGCAGGCAACCATGTCGCAAGCGAAATCCACACACCAGACATGCGAGTACCGAAGCTCCGCCATCATCCGCAACTGACGAGCTTGCACGCCGTCGCCAGTCCCTCGTCGCCCCCTCGCCGTCGCCGTCGAGCGCTTCGCCGACGTCGACGAGCTCCGATCTCCGACGAGATCGCCATCAAGGTCAATTCTTCTTCAGATAGAAAATAAAACTAATTTTGCCTAGGAGTCTATTAGGACCCATAAAACATTACCTTCGCGTGAAACCTTGTTGACTGCTCGGATGGAAGTTTTGAGTTAGCTCGTGGGGTCGTCGACTCAGTAGTCCTGCGTGAATCTCCATCTTCAGCCTCGCGCCCAGCAGAGGCCGGAATCTATACTTTGTGGTATTTGCACGCAAAGTTAGGGTAATTTGCGCCCAGCTGGTTCAGAAAGATTTCAAAGGTCGTCTGGTCGAGCTAGCTCAACGACCAAAGACATGAACGAGGGTCATTTGCCGTGTTGCGACACGAGCTTCTCCTTGGTGGAGAAACAAATTCCCAGTGAAGTTGTTGTTGATAAAAACTCTGTCGTAGGAAACAAACTGAGATCACTCGTTGAATTAAAAAGCACAGAGGAGATTAGAAAACTTATTTTAATTTTTGATGATTCTTCATTACAAAAGAACACTTGCTTAAATAGATAATGTCATAACAAACTAAGAACAAACTTTCCTAAGGATCAGGTGACTTCCGCAACTAACTCTTGCAGTTAGTTGTCCACTTCTCTCGGCCCAGCTTGCGCATCGGTAGCCAGGTCATGATTATTCCAACATGCTTCCCCCTAATCTTGACGTGGGGAAGCCAAATCTTTGATGCCAACCTGCTCGCACATCTCCTTAAATTTGATTATAGCAAGTGCCTTAGTCAGAATATCAGCACGCTGTTCTTGAGTACTCATGTTCTTGACAACGATCAGTTCCTTTTCCACGCACTCTCGGATGAAGTGGAAATGAGTATCGATGTGCTTACTGCATCCATGGAACACTGGATTCTTCATTAAAGCTATTGCAGACTTGTTGACGTAAAGAGTGACTGACTTGGGCTCACGGCCAGTCACCTCGCTGATCCGGTTCCTCAGCCACAGTCCCTGACAAGCTGCTGCAGTTGCTACCATGAACTCGGCTTCACATGAGGATAATGCCACTGTTCTCTACTTCTGAGATTCCTAAGTGATTAGATTCTTTCCGAGGTAGAATGCCATACCACTGGTACTTCTTCTGTCATCGACATCCCCAGCTAGATTGCTATCAGTAAATCCGACCAACTCCTTAACTTCATGTCCTTTTCCATACACAAGCCCGTAGCTAATGGTTCCCTTCACGTACCTTAGGATTTGCGAGACCGCCTGGTGATGCATGGTAGTAGGTCTCTCCATATACTGACTCACTAACCCGACGGCATAAGAAGATCCGGACGGGTGTGAGTCAAGTACCTCAAGCATCTGATGACGCGCCTGTATTCCGTTGGATTCACCAATGTTCCATCAACATCCTTTACGAGTTGCTGCTTTGGTTCCATGGGGTATTTTGTCAGGTTGCATTCGCCCATCCCAAATTGCATTAGCACCTTCTTGGCATAGGCCGACTGTCCTAGTGTGACACAGTCCCTTCTCTGGTCCACTTCGATTCCAAGGTAGTAGGAGAGTAACCCAAGGTCACTCATCTCAAACTCCTTCATCATTTGATGCTTGAACCCCTTTATCTCGTCCACACTCGTGCCGGTGACGATCAAGTCATCAACATACACTCCGACAATGAGTGTGTCAGTTAAAGTTAAATTGCTTCTTGAGTACACCACCTGTTCTTGTGAACATTTCACGAACCCAAGACCCTTCAAACTCTGGTCCAATCGTTTGTTCCACGTCCTTGGTGCTTGACGAAGGCCGTAGAGGGCTTTGGACAACTTGTACACCTTGTGCTCTTGGTTCTTCACGATGAAGCCTTCAGGTTAGGCAACATACACTTCTTCTTGGAGATCACCATTTAGAAACGCTGATTTGACGTCCAAATGGTGCACCTCCCATCCCCGGTGAGCCGAAATGGCAATAATCAACCTGACGGTGTCAAGTCTGGCCACCGGTGCGAAGACCTCCTCAAAATCAACTCCTTGCTGTTGAGCCACCGGTGCGAAGACCTCCTCAAAATCAACTCCTTGCTGTTGAGCGTACCCCTTTGCCACAAGTCTTTCTTTGTGCTTGAGGGTATTGCCTTCACTGTCCTTCTTCAGCTTGTATACCCATTTTAGTCCAATGAGTTTGTGACCGGGTGGCAGCTCGGTGAGCACCCATGTCTTGTTCTTCTCGATGGCCTCCCGTTCTCTCTTCATGGCTTCCTCCCACTCTTTCACATTTGCGACTTCTCGATAGGTCGATGGCTCCTCGGCAGCTAGCAACAATAGCTCATCATCTCGGGTCTCTTCATAAATGTCAGCAAGTGAATGATATTTCTCAATCTCATCATCAGTAGACGAGGAAGTAGAACTTCCTGGAGATCCCTGGACAGTTAGTGGCGAGGCTAGTGCCGACGCGGCCAGCGGACTCGAAGATGATGTCTCTATGGCAACACCAGGTGTGAAGGGTGTTTGCTCCCCAGCTTCCATGTGACTGACTGCTGCTCCATCACCATCAATAGGCTCCTCGACGGTGAACGTAACCCATGCCTGTTGGTCATCTTTTTCAGCTTCACTCCATTCCAGCTCCTTTCTTCCTCAAAGACAGTAACACGACTCACGTGAATCTTTTCATGTCGGGGATCATACATCCTGTGCGCTTTGCTCCCCGCTTCTACGCCAAGGTACACCATGGGAATGCTACAGTCGTCGAGCTTCTTTGTATGTACGTTCGATACCTTGACATGTGCTTTGCACCCGAAAACCCTTAGGTGCTCCAGATGAGGCTTCCTGCCCGTCCATGCCTCATAGGGAGTTTTGCTAGCCAAAGCTTTTGGCGATACTCGATTGAGTATGTAGACAACATGTCTCACCACCTCCTCCCACAACTTTGTAGGCATACGCATGCTCTTCAGTAAGCTTCTTACCATCTCTAGAACAGTATGGTTCCTTCGTTCAACAATGCCATTTTGTTGTGGCGTGTAGGGTGCCGTCAAGTGCCGCTGGATGCCTTCTTCTTCACAAAGACTCGTGAACTATTGAGACAAGAACTCGCCACCGTGATCTGTCCTCAACACCTTTATCTTGTGCTCAACCTCCTTCTCGATCAATGCCTTGAACTTCTTGAACGCCCCAAATGCTTCACTCTTCAGCTTGATTATGTACACCCACATCATCCGACTATAGTCGGCAATAAGGAGGAGGAAGTATCTATTGCCGGTGGGTGTCTCTGGTGTTATCGGTCCACAAAAATCTATATGTACCAACTACAACGGGTGTTTAGCTCTGAAGTTCGCCTGGGAGGGGAAGGCATTCCTCGTTTGCTTTGCCACAAGGCATCCTTCGCAAATCTGCGTAGGATGATTGATCTTCGAGATGCCATGTGCCATTTCTCGATCCCCCATCATTTTGAGTGCCTGGAAGCTCACGTGCCCAAGCCTTGCATGCCACAACCAAGCTGGATCCTTCATGCTTGCTGTCAAACAAATAAGTTCACACATTTCCAACAAAACTTTGTAAATCCTGTTGGGGGATCTCTTGACCTTGATCAGCAATCTCCCATTCCTGTCATATATACATAGAAATGCTCCACACATAATAGTCCTACTGCCATCTTCAGACAGCTGGCCTAGGTTGATAATATTGATACATAGTATTAGTATGAAGTATACCTTCGGCAGTAGTCGCTGTTCGTCGTTCTTACATTGAAATAGGATGGATCCCTTCCCTTTGATTTGCACTATCGAGCCATCACCAAACTTCACCCGCCCGTAGATGTTCTCGTCCAGGTGCTTGAACATTGACTGCTAGCTTGTCATGTGGTTACTGGCCCTATTGTCCAGGTACCACACGTCAGACTCGATTAGTGCCTTCTCATCTGTCTGCAGCTCCGAAATAACCTTCTCCTCATTCAACAACACCATGTTACGCATGCACCCCGTGCACTCAGACAAGAGCAGTGCTGGCTCGTCTTCTTGAAGACGAGTGAGATTAGTCTCATCGTCTCGGTGCTTACTGCGACACTCCGAGGCATAGTGCCCGTGTTGGCCTTCTTGTTTTGATGATGTTTAACAAATAATTTATCACTAATGTTGTTTGTCTAGTATTTGGGCCTTCTTGTTTTGATGATGTTTAACAAATAATTTATCACTAATGTTGTTTGTCTAGTATTTGTGTTTTTTTATTTATTATAGACAAACAACGTAGTTGTGTCTAGTATTTGTGTTTTTTTATTTATTATAGACAAACAACGTAGTTGGAGGTTGGATGGATTGCGCCACAACGATCATATCCAATGGAGGTTGGCGGAATTATGGAGTGAAGCCTATGCAATTTAAAGTTAAAAATCAAGTTTAAGCTTTATCCGCAAGTGTACCAAGTCGAGCTTATTGAAGATCAAGATCTACCTTGGGTAACTTAGTTTAGGTCTTATATTATGTGTGTTAATACTTCAAACTCAATATCACACACACACGTTTGGTTTGGTTTATCGTCGTTTTGGATTATAGACTTAACGATATTATTTTATATCTTTTATCAAGTTTATAAATCTATTGGAAAGTTTTCAAAACTTTGTTTAAACTTATTTTGTCAAGATCAAGCTTTTACAAGTCCATACTTATGTGATTTTGCAAAATAATATGATTCCACAATTGGGAAATACAAATTGAAAAATTCTTTTTTGTAACATGTTCAAAATCACATTTTCAAACATTTTCCAAAGTTTCATCAAGTTTGAAGAAAATTCTTTTTTGTAACATGTTCAAAATCACATTTTCAAACATTTTCCAAAGTTTCATCAAGTTTGAAATTGATTTGTTACGTTTAATTGAATTTACAAAATCATGTTTTTCGTTCGTGCATGTTCGTGCATGTTTTTACAAAACAGATGAGTTTTCACAAATGAGAAGTGATATTTAAGAAATTATTTCTTTGAAATATTTATCTACAGGTTTAAAAACTTCCCTCAAAATTTTATCATTTTTGGAGTTGATTTACTATGCCCAATTGATTTTACAAAATCGTGTATGTTAGCAGATTTTCAGAAACTGTATATCTGTGTTCAAACATTTATTTCTCTCAAATGAGAAATAATTTTTCCTAAATTCTTTCTCTAACATGTTCTTCTATATGTCTAGAACATGTTCGCAAAATTAGATTTCACTCATTGTTTACACACACCAACTTGAGCTTATTGTATTTACATTCATAATATATTTTGGGTTGGTGAGAGTTGTAACAATTGAGTGTGAGCTTTCATTGTGTTCTCATCCATAGTAGAGAACAAACAATTATTGTATTGAGCCTTATTGTGAGATCACTTTGTAATACACCTTACCATCATCCTTACTATCTGAAGAGGGAGAGGCTGTAACCGAGCACTTTGTTAGACCCTAGAGGGGGGGTGATTAGGGTCTTATGCTAATCTAATCCGATTTAAATGCCAATTAAAATTAATTAATACGTTATCCTAGCAAGTATGAAATACAACAATATTTGTAAGCTAGGATAAGCAATGTAAACAATAAGATATATCTTATATGATGAAATATATATGCAAGGATATATAAACTAACACAAGGGTAAACAATATGAACTAGATAGTGGATCATATAGATAATGAGCTAATGACAATGGCGATATAAGATATGAACATAAATATGAATGAACGCCAAAGCACACTCAAACAAGCAATATGATCACGGAGTTGGACAATGGCGACAAGAAATATAAACATAAGATTAAGTGCGCCAAAGCACACTCAAACACAAGATATGATCACAGAGTTCGGACCTTCCGTCCTACGTCTCCGCTCCCCACTCCCGGGGAGAAATCCACTATCAAGCGGGTTTTCTACGTTCACCCGAATAACGTTTACACCTCACAGTGTCGGTTTTCAACGCTCACCGATCAACGTCACTCCTCACACTCGGTTTCTAGCTCACCGAAAACCTCACTACACACTCGGTTTCTAGCTCACCGAAAACCTCACTACACACTCGGTTT